TGCCACTATGCTTTAGAGTTGAGACCCTTAATAATTAATTACTTTCACAAGCATGAAAAGAAACAAATGTGGAATTAGAGTAGAAAGGACCACTGTATTCTATGCTGGCTGCACCTCTCTTCCTCCTATCCCACTCCTCTGCCTTTTGTTCTCTGCTTTCCCATGCCTTAAAAGATGAGGAACCAGCTTTCCAAGACTTCCAGCTTTTTCAGTTTTCCCAGCAGTCAGTTTTATGACAAGTGTGCTCTACCAGTTTTATAAGGGCTGAGATATTCTGTGCAAATATGATTCCAAAACAAGCAGCAGAACAGAGGGAAAACATTCAGGATACAGCCAGAACTCTTTAGAAGCAAAAAATTCCATTTTTTTTTCTTTTAAGGAAAAATTTTATATGCATAACTGCTTTTCAACCTCGTAATAAAACAAGACTTTTTGGTAACTTACTTGACAGGAATTTCTTGTGGGGAAGCAAAGCCGTGCCACAAAACATTACGAAGATTCAGACCATGAGGAGATCCAATGAATACCCTCAATACATTCATCTAATTGATAAACAAAGTGATTATTGTATGAAGAAAAGTAATATTTGTTATCATGTGCCTTTCCCTAATGGACAATTTTCTGAAGATATTGAGAACACAGTACTATCTTAAAGGAACACTTTCTATTGTCAAGATGATTGACACAATTAGAATAAATCAGTACAATCAGAAAAATCAGTGAATGTTTTTCAAGTATTTACAGCATTTACAAACTGTTCTTCAATACAACCATTGGCAATGTTTGAAAACCCATCATCTAGTAAGAAGAAAAAGAAACTCTAGGTTTATAACTTATTTCAAAACTATACACTTACTACAGTTTGTCCAAAGATAACTGCAAGCTCCTCAGAAATAAGCAAATCTCTTAGGAGGAAAGGACAATCTTTACCTATCAGTAAGTACACCTATAGAATAAAAATGCAAAATAGTTTTATATTAATAAACAAATACATGCTTGCAATAAAAAGAAATAGAATCAACTATTTTATGAAATAACATGAAGTCTATGGGGCTATATCGAGAATGAGTACAAGAGTAATGCATGACAATAACGAATAGTTTTATATTAATAAACAAATACACGCTCGCAATAGAAAGAAATAGAATCGACTATTTTATGAAATAACATAAAGTCTATGGGACTATATCAAGAATGAGTACAATAAGAGTAATGCATGACAATAACATATTATTACGGGAATAATTTTACCCTGAAACGATACTTGATTCTTACTTCACTAATCTTTAGGGCTTGTCATTCTTAAGGAAGGAAGCTTGTGATTTGTTTTTCAAATTTCGCTGTGAAACTAGATTTCATCATAGCTGGGCAATCTCATCAATTCTGTACTGCTCAGCAACTCAAAGCTTCTGGTGCTGAAGCTTTCCATTCTATATTTTCCTCCTGACCTTTTTTTCCAACCTTTGGTAATTTTTCATCATTTCAAACTTCATCTCTGGTTAGTCTGGGGAAAATAGGTCTGATTAGATGGTAATTATCCCATTGTCCTCTGCCATTTCCTTCTTAAGAGCTCCTCCTAAAGATTTAATAGCCAGCTATTTTATCTAATCTGTTGGGAAAACACCCAGAAGGCTGTTTTATTTTATTTTTTTTATTTATTTTCCTTGAGCAACAGTCCCTTTTAAACATTTGCCATTCCCTTTCCCCTGTCCTGCCTGCTATTGCTCAGTAGTGCTGGTTTCTGTAGAGGGGAAAGGAGAAAATGTATCAGGATAAGCTCATCAATCTATCTTGCCCCTAATTTTTCATATATTTGTTCTAACATAACATGTGGAATACAAGCTAATATGGCAGATGGCTATAGAGACTGTTCCAATGAGCTTAAGCAGAACTATTATCAGATATTGAAACATAGTCTAATTTGTGTTTCACCAAAACGCATTCACAATACAAACTTTGTAATACCTGTCAGAATTCCTAAGTAACAGTATGTATGGACCCCCTTCCTTATCCCTACTTAACCCCTACAGCAATATTCTTTAAACTTTAGAGTGCATACCTTTCCTACTTTGAGATAAAAGGAGAAGGGAATGCATTAACAAGCCAAATGGTCAAGTTGGACTGTAAGTGGATCCTGAATCTCTCCAGCTGGGCACATAGGTCTAGAATTGAAGCTGTTAGCTGGCTTCTAGACGTTTTGCAATATAACACTCATCTCCAAACACTGATGTATACTCTGCAAACACAGTGTGAGGGGAAAAACTTATTGTTCAGTAGCCCATTTCCAGCTGCTTTTACTGCTTCTCCTCACATATGGGACTACATGATCAGATCTGCTGTGGGAAATATACTGCTCCATTTCAGTTAAATAACTTAGAATAGTAAAGACATAATATTTATATATAGCTTAACTAATCTGTTCCTCCTTCCTGAAATTGGTTAGTGGCAGCACTCACACAAGTTATGAGCAGGCTTAAGAGGCATCAGAAGATATTTCTGTTAGCACAGCTGGATCCAGAAAAGAAAATGTGTCCAAGTCAATTAAACCATGCTACCAAAAGCTACTACAAAAAAGGCATATGCCACTATCAAAGTACAATAAAATCAAAGAGCTCATTCCCATCTTATAAAACCCAAACTGCAATAAAATCCTCCTGCTGATACTTACATCACCCAATGCTCGCTCCAAGCATGATGTTAGTTTCATTAAGCCAAGAGCAATTTCTGTAGTTTGTGTATATTGCAGAGCATCAAATACTTCAAGAAATATCTGTATAGTTGGAGGGAGTTAAGAGAGAAAGACAGAGAGAAACAGAGAGAGAGAGAGAGAGAGAAAGCGAGAGTGAAGGAGGAAGAGAAGGGGACAGAGGGAGAAAGAGGGAGAGAGGGAAAGAAGGAAGGAGGGAGGGAGGGAGAGAGGGAGAAGGGAGAGAGAGGGGAGAGAAAGCTATATTAAATATTTAGAGGAAGGAAATCAAACTGTCAAAAACATACAGAAAACTGATGACAATATTCCTCTGTGATATTGCACAAATACAGGAAAGGTCACTAACCTAGGACACCTCTTTTATTTTTCAGTTCTGAAGTATCAACAATAAATTTGCACAATAAAACCTGGTACTAGAAAAAGATCATTAGGCTCTACAAAAAAAAAAAAACTACCCTCTTAGAGCAGGCCCGAAATACCTCACAGTCTTTTTGTGATAATGCATATACAATCTAATTAAAAGTTGATAAAGAAGTGACTATACATTAGAGAAGCATAATTAGTTACAAATTTTAAGCATTTTGCTTCACTGATCTGTCTTGCAATACTAATACTTCCACAATACTTCTTATACTAAACTTTCAAAACGGGAACACATGCTGAAATGTCAAAAGACATTTCCATACCTCTGTGTAGTTTGTCCACTGGAACCATAAGGCATATCGAGCCACGAATTGCTCCTTGGTGATAGATTTGAAATGCAGATTAACAGATTCACAGACAGGTCCCAGTGATCGTATGCTTTTGATATAATCCACAATTTGATCTTAAATTGAAAAACAGAAGGTGATTAGAGCACGAAACTTCGCAAAGATCCAATATTTTAAAAAACATGTTACAACCAGTGTATGTATTTAACACAGAGGACTTTAACTAGATTACTTAACAAGAATAATTCAGTAACTTAACAAGTTACTGAATTGTATTGTTTGCATCAGAAACACCTATCATTTTTACCATCTTTGCGGATTAACAACAGCATTTGTGTGATGCAATACAGCAAATTAAAATTCAGACAGTTTATCTGAGCAAATATTTTCTTTTTTGGTTAAAAAACAATTACAGTCTGATGACAGTCTGTGAAACAAAACCTGAGAAGCTACAAGGCAAAAAAGATGTCCCCAGTGTATTAAGCTTACTGTAAATGAATGTAAAGAATACAGAGGAAACAGCTGAGGTAGCAAAGGGACAGAACTGAACCCCTTAAGTATAGGGACGTGGAATTGGGACCAAAATGAATGAGGAAGCAAAGAAGGTGCTACCCAAGTAGCACATAAGCTACCCAAGTAGTACATAAATCTTAGGAATCAGCGGTAACCAAATACCAATTACTCATGGATATAAAGTTTAAAGCTCTCCTTAGATGAGAACTATATATAGGCTAATCTGCAGTGAAAATAGTGTTTTACTAGTATAAAATGCCATGACAAAGCTAGGATTGCTATGAACTACATTAAGATGCTGCATCAGTCTTCGATATATTGTTACTACAACAGGCAAACACCAACCTGATTCAAGGTAACAGACATGATCTGTAATAGCTTGCCAAAGTATTTCACCATTTTCAGATACAATATTATGAATATCATAAGTCTCTGTTTTCTCAAATCCAAGATCGCAAATCATGTAATGCACAGCAGGAGAAAGGCAAGTAGTGACAGACTCTGGTAATGCCATCTGGAACAACAGTAAAAAGTCTTTGCATTAATTAAGAAATTCATGTTAGAACCAGAAAATTATTATTTCAGAATACCCATGAGCACAGATACACAAAGAGCAACACAGGAGCTGAGCTGTACATACAAGTTCAAGTTCTACAATGCAATTCTCATCTGTGTATACTATGAAAGGAACAGAGCTGAGCAGAATAACCTTGTGGAAAGTGAGAAGGAGGATGGAAAGAATTTGGTCGCATGAACAAATCCAGGGTCATGGATGGTGTATTTCTAAATGGTTACATGTACCAAGCATATACCAGATATATACGCATACTGAAAGAGAGACCAAAGCAAAATATTACAGTTCATATATAAGGTTTTCATATATATATATATAAGGTATTAAGATATGTACATATATTATATATAAATTATATATTGATAAACCTTATATACCTTATATACCTTGCAGTTTGTCTAGAAATTGATGCTACTGAGAACTTCAACCTTTATATAACCAGCAAAATCATTGAGAGAAACACGTTAAGTTCTCTAAGAATGTGAAGTAATTGGAGAATAATACAAATGTAAATATTGTCTACTATTAGCCTAAATGGTAAAATAGACCAAATTCAGTAGCAAACATTTAAATCAGAGATTGGCACTAGTTTTAATATTCATTGTGAAGAGCAAAATGGATTACGAGAAACTAAGCATGCTGCTTCTTTACTTTGTTTCCAACATCCAAATTTCCCCGAACTATTACAACTAGTAAGGAGACTTCAAATGAGACTTCAAGAAGCTTTAAGCTATGTTCATAAAACCGATATAGAAATCACTTAAAATGTTATTATCTCACAAATGAGGCAGAAAAAGAAAAGAAAAAAGAAAAGAACAAAGATCTTTCCTGTGAGCAGTCACGAGTGTTAGGTTAACCAGTGTGGCAAAAAACATTAGAAATTTTCCATTTAAAATTTTGTTTGCAAAACTAACCTCAATTAATTAAAAATGTCTATTCTAAAATCTCTAAAGCTTCCTTGCAGAATTCAATGCAGTGAGGATAAAAATTCTTTATGAAACACCTCTAGATCAAAGATCTGTAAAGTTTAGAACTGGTCACACTAATGAAGAGGAACAGGATTTGGATTTTGCTAAAAAAAATTTACGCTTTTCTACTCATGAAATGGAGAGGACAGGCAATATTAACCGCCTAAGAGAGTAGGGGAGAGGTCACAACAAATATAAAAGGCATTCATTAAAGTTAAATAACAGAAGAAAATCAACTAAAACCTTCTGTAACTAGGTGGGGGGGTGGGGGGGTTCAGTCATAATTCAGGACACAATTCCTGAATTCATGGCTTCGAGGAGAGACTAAATACAGACAATAGCTCTACCGAATTATTAATTTCGAGAAGGAACTGATATTGGTTGCCACAGGATGCTAGGTGCCGTAAAAATCAGGCAAAAAGGCTCAAGAACTCAGTCAGCCTCGTTCTGAAACGCCCCACTTCCAGGACAAAAGTTGTCAGCAAAAGAGAACAGAAGTTACACTGTTACAATGGTCATTTATTATTTTCTAAATAAACGAGAGATAAACAGGACAGAAAGGTGGCTGGGAGAGTCGCTCCAGGCTTGTGCTGCCGCGGGGCACAGGGAGGGCGGTCCTGCTCCGCTCCCCGAGCACTGGGCCGCCCAGCAGGGCGTTCCCAACCCCCTGCACGCAGCTGGTATCGGCAGGGGCAGCTCCAGACCAGCGCC